TAGGTCCCTGGGGACATCTTAGGACCAGCGCTACTCAGGTCTGAGCTGCCCTAGTGCCAAACAGAAGGGTTTGTGGCACGCAGAAAGAAGACTAGACTTGGAGCCAGATGACGAAGTACTAAATCCTAATTCTGAGTCTTTCAGCTGGTGTGAACTCTTGAGCAGTGTATTTTTTAGGCTTCAACTTTCTCATCTGTAAAATGGGGAAGACATTAGACTTAGTGATCTCTGAGGCCCCTTCCCAATCTAAATCTATCATCTAATGTTCCGCCACCAATAACATTTTGTTATTCTGATTTTACATACCCCAAAGAAGTCATCCCTCATCCAGGTAGAAGCTGCTCTGACAGTAGAATATGTGGCCCCCAACATTCCCCCTACAGCCAGAACCAGATTAAAATGTAATTGGGAAATGTTTAACCAAAAAAAAAAAAAGTACAAGTAAAACAGAGATTAAAAAAAAAAGAAGTGACCCCTGGCACCCCAACCAAGGAAGAAGAAAACCCCACCCCTAGTACTCTGTACCTCTCTTGTGCACTTAAATTTTGTATTGTAATCATCCCTGTACTTGCCTTATCCTCATGGACTAGACTCTTAGCTCCTTGAGGGGAGAAACATGCCTTGTTCTTTTTGTTATCTACTATTGTAAATGTGTGTAGAATAAAATTAGTAAAAGAGTAATTGTATGTTCAGCACTGTGTTAGGCACTGGTTGGGAGAGCAGTCATTAAAGGACTGGCTCAACTCTCTCACTTCACTAAGGAGCAAGATGAGTCCTGAAGAAATGGAGTGACTTGGTCACAGCCACACACGAACCACAGAGCTAAGATTTACATTCAAGTCTCCTTAGTTCCTGACACAATGTTCTTCCCCTTACACACCAGGCAGTCATGTCTTCGGGACCACCCTAAGAATCTCCAAGGGTGAGCCTTCGCAGAGTCTAATACTTCTCAGCCTTTCCTATCACACGCAGCACAGGGAACATGCCCCGTAGGAAGCTCAGGACAAACTTGCTAGCTGATTTGGTCATCCTCAGCAACACCATTAACAATTGATTTGAGCAGCTCCGTGGGCACCAGGATTGCAGAACTGAATTCCTACGACTCTAGTTTTAAGTGCTTCAGAAGAAATGACTGTGGTACAGTGAAAAAAGTCAGAAGACCTGAATTTAAATCCTAGTTTTGCCTCTTCCCACCTGTATGACCACTGACAAGTTATTTAACTTCTCTGGGCCTCATTTTCCTTGTCTGTAAAATGAAGGGATTGGTTGGGGTGATCTCTAAAGTGCCCCCAAGTTCCAGATCCTGTGAACCGGGGGGGGGGCAGGATGGAGGAGGTTGGATTTTTTTTTTTACTAAGCTTCTGTGACCCAAGGTTCTATTTCCCTGATAAGACAAGAACTCAGGCCGGCAACCTCCAGGATTTCTGCCTCTTATGTGGCTTCTCCACTCTTCAGTGTAGTGTTAGGGGAAGGAGCCCTGGACAAGAGTCAATGGATTGGGATTCAAGCCCAGGCTATGACAAAAATCCTCTGGGTGAACCTAGGCAATTGATCTGGGTTCTTTGGGCCTCAGGCTTCTCTGTCAAGTGAGTGTTGAACTAGATAGTCTAGTACCTTCCAGCTTTGATTTTTTTGTGGTTTTTTTTTTAATGGTTTGCATATGATTCATGTGACAGGAAATTCAGCAGTCTGAAGAATAGAGAACTCTATTCAAATCAGAAAGGGCCCTCTGGCCAAAAGTTGATTATCAAATTATGTCTTCCAAGCTTTGAAAGAAATGTGTATATTTTATGCTCATAAATTCTCCAGCTCGGGCTGTGCAGACAGTAGCATTGCCTGTGGCTTTGGCATTTGGGAGAGGGTAAATTGCTGTAAACAAGATCTCTAATGCAAAGTTGCTGTGATAAACCTTTAATTACTCTTCCCAATCATTGGCACACAGAATCTTAAGAGTTGGAAGTTGTCTCAGAGGCTGTTTGTCCAAACCATGCCTGAATATGACTCTCTTCCTCAATATATCTGGCTTCCACTTGAAGACCTCCAGTGAGAGAGGGACCCAATTGCCTGCCACGGGCAACCTGTTTCACCTTGAGGAAGCTTTTCCTCCCGCAGACTTGCACTCACGGCACCCAGTTCTTCGACTCTCATTTCTCTTTCACATGATAAATTTGAGGCTCTTCCTAAAGAGGAGGAAGCTGACATGGAGGAAGGAGTTACTAGTCTCCCAAGAAATGACAGAGTAGAACCACAGAAGTGATAAGGTGAGAGTTCATCCTATAAGGATAAGAATAGGAATGATTAGGGACTTCTTGCTTAGAGGTACTGAGGTACCTATATGTCAACCTGTTAACAACAGAGGTATTGTTTTTCCTAGGTTACGTAGCTAAGACACTTGGCCAAGATGTCACAGAACCTCCTAAGACTTGCTAACTAGTATCCACTTTTTTTGATTCATGTGGTCACATATGATACTGCCAGAAGGAACCCAGAAAATATTGCCAAAAATGATAAAGTCTTAGACAAGAAACTGAAGACCATAGGGCTACAGGTTGCTGCTTTGGTTTTGTTTGGTTTTTTCCCTCACTATTGCCCATTAAAGGCAAGAGATGAAAATTTGGAACTCAAAATTTTGTAAAAATGAATGCTAAAATTGTCTTTACACATAATTGGGAAAAAATAAAACACTATTTTTTAAAAGGCAAGAGATCTATAAAAATGAATGCAAGTAGTGAATAGCTGGATAAAAAGGTGATGCCTAAGAATAAGACTTGGATTTCTGGACCGCAGATTAAAAATCTAGGAACAGATGACAGACGCTCAAGAATGAAATCGTTTCAATGATGATGGAAAATAAGAATTGTCTGAAGACTCTGTAGAGGTTGTAAGAGTGCTGGGGCAGCGAGAACTACAGTGTCTTAGTAAAAATAACTTTTTTTGAGGGAATAAATTCATGCTCCCAGCAGCAGGTGGAATCCCTTACAAAACTCCTAAAAAATAGCCATACTCCTTGGAGAAGGATAATAGTCTGTTTGGTTTCCATGGAGTCCCCCACTTTCTGAGTAAAGCCAGTGCATTATTCATACAGTGCAAGTCCAATGAGAAGAGATTTATTTTCTCACCAAGCTCCAAAGCGTGTTTACCTTGTCAGTGAATCTAAACCATTGGATGATTATGACCAAGGCTGAGGAGACTATGGGAGACTGAGGTAGAGAGGGACTAGCTTGAATGGCCCTGAGAGCATTCCCAATTCTCTTCTTGGACATGAAAGAGAGAACTATTGAGCACTCTGGGTTCGCATATTAGTTTATGGGCCTCTCTGACACCTTAGCATCACAGGTATTTTTTTGTGGTGAGTGAAATAAAAGCTACCCCATACTCGATACTCATATTGAACACTGAATACATGTGCTGGAATGGGGATCACACTTTGGGAGACGTTAGTTGTGAGCCTTTATTTATAAGTTGTAAGCTTTATTTCAGAGATTTATTTAGAGTTTTTATTTATTTAGAGTCCTATTTACTCTGGGCTATGGGCAGAGACAGAGAAAGAGAAACTGACCTCATGTGAGCCGAGGTTCTATAAAGGGCCTTGAACCATAAACAATGTGAGCAATTAGACATTAGTCAGGAGCTATAAGGAATGTCTAAAACCAAGTCAGATTGAGGTTTCTGACAGAGAGCTTGTCTTTGGTAAGCAGGAAACTGGGCTTAAAAATACACTAAAATCTGAGGGTTCTACTATCTTGCTGGTTGTTCTGTGTCCTGTGAGCTTGGTTCCTGGTAAGGCTGGGTTTTGATGGCTGTGGTGAAGGATGTCCTCTGGGAGAAAAAAATATCTGATACAATGATGGCTCTGAGAACTAACAGACTCTTTACAAGTGGAAGGAGAAAAGCCAATCTGCTAAGAGTTTTGACAAAGTATGTGAGATCTTTGCCTTTCCAAAAGAGGTATACCTTAAGCCTCTGAACTTTCAGCTAAAAGAAAGATGGCAGAGCCTACTGTTTCTGTTATGGGGAAGAGGCACAGCTGAAGCTAGAATCTGGAAATAATTTCCCCAGTGAAAACATACTTGGCAGCCTCCAGCAGTGACCACAGACCAGCAGAGCACTGTCAAGCAGGGGCCTCAGGAGAGCAGCAGGAAACAATGCCTAGAAGAGACCAGACTCCATGCCCACACCCAGCAGAGACTACCTCCTGGCAGAGACCACTGGGGCATAGGCCAGTGAAAGCAGAACAAGGACTCTGGGCCTATCATACCAAAGTCTCCACCCATGCACATTGGTCACATGTATTCTCTATTTGTGTGCCCTGGCTACATGTGTTTCCTAAGTGTGTGTTCCTCCACGTGTGTGCCCTTCACGTCTATTTGTCCCACTAGTGGTATATGCAATTGAAGAAGATTATATATACCAGGTTCATGGAGGAAATGTTCTGGTGTAACTTTTCTTATTATGATAGTACATTCAATTCTGCCTATTGAAACAGATGATCAACTGTTCTGTAACTTGCAATCTTATAGTTTCCTAGGTAGTTGGGGGAAGGGGGTCACCTAACCAGTATATGTTGAATCCAGTTGACCTTGACTGAGATGGCCTTCTATCCGCTGGGTCAGTTGCTTCTCAGAACTTACATGTACACCTGTGAGATTTCATCTCTTACCCCTAACCAGTTTTGGCTTGGCCATAACTTCTTGGAACTTGATTATTTCATCTAATAATATGTTATTCATCCCTCCTAGTTTTGTGTACATACTGAATTTGCTTATCTGTGTCTAGACACTTCTGCATTTCAGCTGGGAACTGATCTCACAAGGTGATCTCACAAGGTTCCCTCAACCTCTTGGAAAGCATGTTCTTGGGATTTTCACCCCCTAAGCAATGAGGCTCCGGGCACAGACAGCACTTTTCTCTCATGGTTCCCCCCAGGCAGGAGGGAGCTCTTAGCAGCAGCCCTTCTCCTGGAGCAACCCCACTGACTACCGCTCCCTTTCTGTGCCCAGGGTCAACACTACGAAGAGGAGAAAAGGGCCCTGAGCCATGAGATTGTAGCCCTCAACAACCATCTCCTAGAAGCCAAGGTGACAATAGATAAGTTGTCAGAGGACAATGTAAGTATTGATTTGAGAACCCTTCCCCAGGTACCCAGGGTAGCTGTGGGGAAATCCATTGTATTTACTCCTCCCACACACAGACACTTTCATAGTTGATTTTCCAAGTCTGCCCAGTCCTTGCAAGGTGAGGAAATTGAGGGAAGGGAGCTCAAGATTTTGGCTGTGGGAGGAAGTTTCTAACTCTCAGGAACAGTAAGGAAATTCTCATTTGGTAAAGTTCCATGGCCGCTCATGGGGCACGAAAGGGTTAACTATCACAAGACAGTTCCAAGAGCACATTTAGATCATGGCAGAAAATGTTCTCATTACAGCTATTCTAGTTTTAGGTGATGTTGTCCTGGACCAGACCCCAAAGTGAGGGAAAGAAAAAAAAGTTTCAAGTTCAGTGGAAAGAATATTTATTGAGATAGAATGGTTTTTCTAACTGCAGAGTGATTGCCCCGTCTTAGCCTTCTACCCCTTCAAAATGACTGTCATTATCATAATTCAGAGCTCGCCTTGCCTGTGGGTAGAATGGACAGTTAACTATCTGCAGAGTGATTTCTAGGATACCAACAACATCCTGATAGCCAAGAAAATCTCTCCCTACATTCTAGCAGGTGCCCAGAGAGCTGCCATTAAGGTTTCATCCTTTTAACCGAAGACTTGGACCCTTGCTCCATGTTGTATTCATAGGATTTGAAGGAAGTTTATGGAATGTTAGAGCTGGAAAGGACTTTAGAGTTCATCTAGTCCTAGTTTTACAGAAAGGAATCAAAGGTCCAAGGGAGTAAACATGACATTGAACCTAGGTTCTCTGGATCCAGATTCAATGCTCTTTTCACCCATATCACAACATTTTTGGAGAACCTGTTGTAATCTCTTTTCGAGTTTTGATATTCAAGTGTACATAAAGGATCCAGGAGCAGATTTGGATTGAAGTGAGGGTGGAGATAATAGTGGGCAAAGAGGTCAAGTTTTACCAGCTACATGGGGGGAAGGGAAGAGGAGAAAGGGACATGGGATGGGTGAGGTGGCCTCAAGACACCAATGTGGCTGCTTGGCAGTATTCCCAAGGGATGGTGCTGCGTGATGGATGCCCTTATTGTCCAAGGGTCAAATCTGACATACCAAGTCCAGTGCCCTGTGGACTATGCTGGGACCATCAAGCCTTGAAATAAGGAATGAGCTTTGGATGGAGTTTGTTTCCATAGCACCTATGGCGGTGGGGCTGAGCCATCACCAAGGCTGGTTCTCCATCCAAGCCCATCAAACAGCTATGTGAGGGTAACAGCCAAAACCACGTGCACATGCAACAGAGATTTTTAAAATCTATCTATAAATTTAATAGTTGGTGTTCCTACTGTTTGCATCTGTTTTCCCAGCACCCAGAAGACTGATGGTTACATATAGATTCACCAGCTTAGATCTGGGTGACATTAAAGTCAGTTTTTCCCCTATTCATTTCCTCCCCAATATTCTCAATCTGTCAACTTTTATATAGTAATAATAATAGAGATACAATAATAGCTCATATATTTTTTAGCATCTCCTGGTGTAAGGAATGCTTTCCTCACAACAGATCTGTCAGGCACAGGTCTAGCAGGTTGTCTAAGTATTATTTCATCCATTTTACAAAGGAAGAAATAGAAATTCAGAGAGGTGTTGACTTATCCAAAACTATTTTACGGTAAGTAAATATCATTATCAGGACTTGAATCCATGGCCTTCTGAATCTAAGTCCAAATTCAATGTCCTTCCCCCTGCACCACTAACTTCTAGGATGTGACTTCCTTGGCATAGTATGAGATAGGAATAGGGAGTGACCCCTCACTCAGCCCAATAATGACACTCCTAAGCCCCGCTGACAACAGGAGAGGTTGCCTCTCAGAGAATCACAAACATATCTGGCTCTTTTCCCTTCCCATTTTGCTTCTGCTGAGCATGTTCCTCAAGTCATTTTTAGAAAAAACCCAGAATAATTTGGAAACACCCACATTCTCTATCCCACCTCCCCCCAGAGCCAAGAGGAGAAAGCACCTCATTCTTGGGAATCTGCTAGCTGGGTTTGTGTGGCACAGGGATGTTAGAGAGAAGAATTTTCCTCAAAAATTAGACTGGAGAGAGAATCTCTGAGGTCACTTCCAAATTGGCGATTTTTTAAGTCTGAGATCTGAAAGTTAGGGAAGAGGAAATGCTGATTCTGTGGCCCATGGCAGGGCCTTTAAAAGCAGAGGATTTAGACCTCCATTATCTGGACTTGAGCAGAGGAGAGCTTGGGACAGACTCTGCCAGCCTGACCTAGAAGGTCATAGGCACCCCAGGGAGAGATATGTTCTTTTTGGTGCTACAAAGGGAGTAATGGTGAGTGCTGCAACCCAGGGAGACCAGAAAGGCACACATCTCAGCCCACAAGAGATTCCAGGAGACATACCTAAACCGACCCTTGGTCAGCTTCCTGGAATGGCCTGGTTCCCTTGTCTCCTCTATTCCCCCCACGTGCTTCTTTGTCTTTCTCCTGCTGTTTCTCCTAGCTGCCCTAGGTCTTTGATATCCTGTTATCACAATGCCGAGGCTCTCCTCAGTCTCTTGGCCTTTGCCTTATTTGGCTATCCTTGGAAGCCAGTGAGGTATTGTGGGAAAGTGCACTGGACTTGGCATCAGAAGACCTGGGTTCCAATCCCAGTTTTCCTTCTTACTCTCTGTAAAACCTTGGGCCCTCCCACTCCCTAGACCTCAGTTTCCTCATCTATAAAACGAGACTAGACCAGATGACCTCTGAGATCCCTTGTGGTTCTAAATCATATGAGATAACAATTCCTCCTGAATCATTTTCAGAACATATAAGTCCAGAGTGCAAAGGGACTTTAGAACACATAAGTTCAAAGTATAAAGGAATCTTAGAACATAAAATGTTGAGAGTTCACAAAAGTTCAAAGGGACTTTAGAACATAAAATGTTAAAGCTCGAAGGAAACAGACATTAGCTAGCACAGCTCCTTCATTGGACAAAATTAATGAAGACATGGAAGGGGAAGAACTTGCCCAAGGTCTCACATATTTAGAAGAAAAAAAATTAGTTGTATTTTTTTCTGGGTTAAAACTTTCCAATTATTAATCATATTGCTTTCTTTAAAAAAATTTTTTCCACACTACAAAGAATTCCCCTGTGCTCTGGGGAAGCCAAGTTCCAGCGCTGAGCCCAAGAGCAGAGGAGAGCCACCATGGGCTGTTCCCTTTCCAGGAGCCTCACTCTCATTGGTCACTACCAGCAGGGGGCTGTCTTGAGCCCCATGTGCCAATCAGCCTTCTCTTGTTTTTTTAGGAGCTCTATAGGAAGGACTGCAATCTAGCGGCTCAGCTGCTTCAGTGCAGCAAGACCTACGACAGGGCCCACACGGTGTCGGAGGTAACGTGACCAACCTTTGTGCCTTTGCCTGGGCTGTGGGCACTGTGTGGTACCTCCCTGGGCTCTGCCCCAGCCAGACCCGGCATCTGGTGGGGGTGGGGTGTCGTAGAGGGGAGTTTAGATGAGCAGGCTGCCATGGAAGGGGCAGGGTAGAGAGCTAAGGGCAGATAACCTGGCATGGGGGAAACTTTGAGGGTCCTGATTCTCCTTTGCCTTAACTGACACCAATACCTAAAGAAGGGGAAAACTGGAAGTCAAGCCCCAGGTACAATTCCAGGTCTCTTAAAAGACCTTTATTGGCCCTATAGGGGACTAAGACTTCCCCTGAAATCAAGCTTCCTGCAAAATCCACCTTCTACCTGGGAGCACTAAATTTCTAATCCAGTTGGTCTCAAATAACCAAGGCTGGAGCAGACAGATCCTGAAGAAGTATTATAAGTATTTCATTACTAGAATCATTATTAATGATCTAGGACAGATGTGTCGAACAGCAGACTGCTGACTGTGGCCAAAATCAGATTAAAATATAATTGGGAAATATTTAACAAAATGAATAAAAATACAACATGGACAATGTTTGCAGTTTTCTAAGTAAGTAATCTGCAGGTGCCATTTCTATTTGAGTTTGGTACCATTGGTCTAGGAGGGGACAGACTATCAGAAATAACCACAATAATTAAAGTGCTCCTCAGATACCTCAGTCTGTGCTGTGCAGGTGTCCCTAAGCCCCTGATTGCTAGAACTAGTGAGCTCTAGTAAGTCCTGCCAAGCTGAAAGGGCTTCCCCTATGGCTTTAGGGACATAGGATGTGTCTGTTGTCCAAGGATAGGGCCATAAGTAGCAGAGCCAGGATTTGAACCCATGTTTTCTGACTTCAAAGTCAGGGCTTCACTACTTTCTATGCTAAGCTGTTGTCAAACCAATTTTTTGGTTTAACGCTGTTGGAAATAGGATTGATTATTTTAGGTCTTGGGTCCTCTAGTTGAGGAAAATGGCACCCAAGTAATTTACGATGGATTGAGCTGGGCCTAAAGAACAGGGCTCCTCTGGAGTACCCTGGTACCTCCTCTGTAAGAAGCCCTGGGCCTTCCTCCCCTCACACTGCATCTTCCCTCAACTAAGTGTGGGGCCATCAGTAGCCGGATTCATGAAAATTAGGAAGTCGCTTTGACCAAAGTGGGATTTCCTGTTCAATGGCCTCTCCCTCCCCACTTACCTCTCAATGCACCCACCTTTTAGGAACCTCTCCCACCCATTCCTTACCTCATCCCACTCCCCTCAGTCTTCTTATCATCTCGCTCCCCTCCCACCAATGTACTACAGCTGTGCTATCCTCCTCTCCTTCCATCCCTTCCCTTCTCATCTCCTATTGCCTCTACTATCCTACTAACCTGTTAGTCCAAACTAAACCCTACAGCAGTAATTCTCCACTTTTGAGAATGTCATAATCAAATTTCTGAGAGTAAACAGGCAAGTCAGTATTAATGAAGTATCTACCATGTGTCAATCACTGTGCTAAATTGCTGAGGATATAAAGGCAGAAAAACAGTATATATATATATATATATATATATGTGTGTGTGTGTGTGTGTGTGTGTGTGTATTATATATATACACACACATATACAGTAAATGTGTATATGTGCATATATACATATATGATGTGTACATGTACATATACACACATGTATACATATATGTATACATATATATATATATATATATATATATACCTGCATTAATACATCAAGAATTTGTGATTTTTGTCCTTTCGTCTGCCATCCTTTGCTGACACAGATCACAATCTCCCCATGCCTTAGTAAATGGTTTAATAGGCTGCTGTAATCAACATAATTCATCCCACCTTTTTAAATTTTTCATCATTGTTATTATCATCATCATGAGAGGGACATCATGACATAGTAGATAGAGAATTGGCCCCAAAGCCAGGAAGACTTGGGTTCAAATACTGTTGGCTCTGTGACTTTAAGCAAATTTCTTAACCTCTCAGTACTCCAGGCCACTCTTTTAAGACTATTTAACTTGCAGAAAAGGTACTATTCTGCACTGGTAGAGGGAATTCCTTCACCTGGGAGTTCCCTGTACCAGTGATATCACAGGTCTGTTCTCCAGCCCTCATCACCAGAAAACTAGTTTTGGACGAAACTTTTTAACTGTCAACTATAACATAATGAATAGATTGCACTCTGTGTCAGGAGAGGGAAGTCACAAATCCTTAAGTATTAAAAAACAATAGCTCATGCTTCTCTTAACATTTTCAGCATTACAAAGTACTTTCTTCATAACAATCCTGTGGGGCAGGGTGATACCCATTTTACAGATAACAAGCCTGAGGTTCATAGAAAACTTACTCAGGGTCACCCAGTTAGTACACAGCAGAGCCTGGATTCAAACCCTGATGTCACAACCACCAGGCTGGTGTTCTTTCTGATAAATCAAGCTGCTCAGGACATCTGGGAAAGAGCACATGCAAAGCACTGACAAATAGATCAAACAGTAGTGTGGTGATTGCACTGTGCCTACCCCAAATCACACACACACACACACACACACACACACACACACACGTGGGGTGTTGCAGGCACAGGTCTCTTGACTTTGTCTTTGGTAGTGAGGCCATCAGTCTCATTTTGCTTGTCTTTCTTCCTTCAATCTTTGTTGCATCTGTAGCTGCTGTGTCTAATATTGCTGCTGGCACAGCCTGCTCCTGGCTGTGGTGTCAGCAATATTACCTGCCTTATTTCAGGTGGAGGTGATTGGGGGAGGGGAATGGGGCAGTAGGGATGGGATGAGAGTTTGGCCTACAGGGTACCCAAGAGCTGGGGGATGAGGTGTGTCTAGGAAAGAGCTGGGGGCAGTGAGTAGAGGGGAATCTTTAAAGGGATGCCCTAGCTATATTGGGGCAGAGAAAGAGTAGGGAAGGTGAATGAATGAATAAAAAGCACTTAAGTATCTATATGACAAGCACCAAGCTACGTGTTGCAGCTAGATTTTGTACATTAATAGAAGTTAGAGTTAGAAAGAGACCTTAGAATCATAGAAAATATATCTATGATGGAAGGGGGCTTAGAGACCATCTAGTTCAACGCTGTCATTTTAAAGATGGCTAAACTAAGAGCTGGAGAAGGAAAGAAACAAGGTCTCCCAATAAGTCCCTGGCAGAGCCCAGGTCTCCCAACTCTTGGCTGAAAAACCTAACAGCATTCTGGGTTTTTGTTTTATTTTTTAATATTTCCATGCTATTGGTGAAGGTTGGATTCCTCTGTTGGTAGTGGGATGAAAGGGAGACAGGGAGAGAAAGGAACATTTTTCTTGATATCTAGGTCTAGTTCCAGAGCACCCCAGAAATATCCAAAGGTGTTCTGTTTTAGACAGTACTGCCCAATGATGCTCCCCATGCCCCCATGCTGTTTTATGAGCACTACCTGGTAGTTTGTATCTTGGCCACGTTGACCTGGTTGGATGTTGAAACCAACTTTGACCCTTATCTTTTCCCTCTCTCCCCTTCCTGCTTCACCACCCTGTGTTCTAGCTGCCATCTGACTTTCAGGAGCGAGTCAGCCTCCACATGGAAAAACATGGCTGCGGCCTGCCGGCCCCCCTCTGCCACCCATCCTTTGCTGACACCATCCCCACGTGTGTCATTTCCCAGGTCCTGGACAAGCCTGACCCCAGCAGCCTGTCCTCCCACCTGTCCAATGCCTCTGCCAGGGACCTGGCCTTCCGGGAGGCGGCCGAGAAAGCCGGCCCTCGGACCCAGTTCAAGTCAGACATCTACTGCAGCGACACAGCCCTCTACTGCCCCGAGGAGCGCCGGAGGGACCGCCGGCCCAGCATGGACATGCAGGTGAAGGACGTGGGATTTCTCCGGTCCCAGCACTCCACTGATAGCACAGCTGAAGAAGATGGTTTCCATTCCAGCTTCTCTCACGAGGCCTTCCCTGAGTACGTGGCCTCCCTGCCCACCTCGAGCTCCTATTCCAGCTTCAGTGTGACCTCGGAGGAAAAGGAACATGCCCAGGCCAGCACTCTGACAGCTTCTCAACAGGCGATCTATCTGAATAGCCGGGATGAGATCTTCAACAGACAGGCGACAGCTGCCTATGAGCGGCCCTGCAGCCCGTGCTTCGCCACAGTCCAGGCCCCACAGCATGTGGAGCTAGGCCCAGAGGGTCAGGCCACACCCCCCTTTGTCAGGACGCTGTCCCCATATGCTGGGGATCCCTTCCGCTTCCCTGCCACCCTGGAGGCCCAGCAGGCCCTGGTGGCCCAGAAGCTTCGCAGTGAGAGTCGTAGTACCCACCGCTCCGATGAGGAGCTGCCAGGGCGGTGGCGGCCTCTGACTGTCGAGGACATCGGTGCCTACTCCTATCCCGAGGCTGGCCACATCACCCCCCACAGCTTCCCTGAGCAGTACTTCACTGGCAGCCCTGGCAAGAAGGCGGACAGCCGGGCCAGTCCCATCTACCCAAGCTATAAGGCAGACAGTTTCTCAGAGGGAGATGACCTCTCCCAGAGCCAGCTGGTCGACTCCTGCTTCCTTCCCGAGGACAGCAACATGAGTCTGAACATAAGCCCTGGCCGCCCACCAGACCAACTGCCTGCCTATGCACCCAGTGAGGCTGGTAGCGAGAGGCTCACGGTGCAGATGTGTGGGGATGGCAGGGTAAGCCCTGCCCCTGAGGGAAGTCCCAGACTGGGTGGCAGCTATGCCAACGTGAGCCCTGCAAGCTCAGCTGGATCCCTGGAGCCAAGTTCCATGGAAGCATCCCCAGAAATCCACCTGTCTTCCAAGGAGCCAGGCCTCCACCCATCCATCCATAGCAAACAACAACAGTTCCAACGGACTCCAAGTACCGGCCTGAGCCGGAAGGACAGTCTGACCAAAGCACAGTTCTACGGGACCCTCCTCAACTGAGCCTCCCTCAGAATGCAATAAGGATTACATATGGAACACTTTGGGCCACAAATACCAGAGTCCAGCAACAAAGAGAGAGAGAGAGAGAGAGAGAGAGAGAGAGAGAGAGAGAGAGAGAGAGAGAGAGAGAGAGAGAGAGAGAGAGAGAGAGAGAACGAGAACATTATCTCCTCTTCCCCACCCCACCCATTTGCCCCTGGGGATAAAAAGTTTGCAGCACCAAGAGCATTTTTTTCACACAAACATCTTTTCCACCTATGAGATGAACCCCTTTTATAAATCTAAACTATTTTTATAAAGAAAAGTGGTATTTATTAATACACAGCCTCCAGCTCTCAGGACAGTGAGCTGTCTTTTCCCTTTGAGTGCATTTTCAAACAAAAATCTCCTTTATTTTTCTGCATGAGGGCCACTTGTGCCTACCTCTTAGAGGGAAAGGATGGAGCCACTGTGGTAGAGAAACACACACATACACACACACACACATACATATACACACACATACACATACATACACACACACACACACACACACACACACACACACACACCACACACACACACACACACACACACACACACACCCCGAGACAGAAATTTCCACAAACCACAGAACAAAGCAATCCCAGGAACTGTCCTGAGTAAAACTTGAAAGGAAAGGGAATTGAAAAGGGGCAGGGCAGGGGGGAGGGGAGAGTCTATTTTTAAAAGTATAAAAGAGACAAGCCCCAAGGTCTTTCATAATATTCTATTTCTGAGTAAAACCTGACTGCACAAAGTAAGGCAGGTGTTTTGTTCTCCCAGCCCATTGTGTTTCTGCTTTCCTACTCTCAGTTGTCTACTACCTCAAATATAATTGAGGTGTTCTTTGTCACCTATTTTCCATAGGCTTGCATTTATATCGTCCTTGATGCATGCAGTGTCCCAATTAGTACTGTATTTTGCATTACTTAATAAAAGAAACTGGTGGACATAGTTTGAGGTGTCTGGTTTTTGGCCTCATGAAAGCTTATCCCAGGGAAATGAGATTATTAGCATTGGCCTACCCAACTTTTTCCCCTGAAAAACAATAATAAGGACCAGGTGGGAAGAGAGATACCATTGTGTGGAATGGGGTGGGCAGGAAAGAACTGCTTCCCAATGAATATAGAGAGAAAACTGAGCCCAAAGGCAGGATGGGATGGGGATTCTGAACACAAATGGGGTACAGTGGTAAAGACTCATTCATTCTACAGCTGTTTATTAAGCATCTACTCTATGCAGCTAGGTGGTACAGGAGATAGAGTGCCGTTCCTGAAGTCAGGAAGACTCACTTTCCTCAGTTCAAATATATTCAGACATATACTACCTATGTGACCCTGGGCAAGTCACTTAACCTTGTTTTCCTCAGTTTCTCATCTATAAAATGAGCTGGAGAAGGAAATGGCAAACCACTCTAGTATCTTTGCTAAGAAAACCCCAAATGGGCTTATGAAGGGTTGGGCATGATGAAAGCTACTGAACAACAACAAATATGCAGACCACCATATTGGCCATGGGGGAGCCCCAAAGTTTAGATTAGACACGGGTTCCTGCTCTCATGGACAAGATAAAATCAAACCACAGATCTGGACACATTATTGCTTGGTAAGTAGGTGTAAATCAAGTGTTAAGTGAGATCTGCTAAGGAAGGCCATTACTGCCCTGGGACATCAAAGACTCCACAGTGGTGGTGGCATTTGATCTGGTTTACAAAGAGCCTGAGAACATGACTCTCATCCCCTAGGCTGGCTCCAACGCAGTAACCCAGGCCTCTGGGGATTTCAAAGGCATTGTTGATGATGGATTTCACAAGAGACCCCACTGGATCAGACAGTGGCACTTAAAGAATACAGAGCGAGGTGAGCATCCACGTGACCTAGCCTCCCCCTTCAAGGATGATAGTTAATAATACTTCGCATTTGTGGAAGTTATATGTAATTTCTGGGGATTGCCCTGCACACAATCCCATTTGATCCTCACTACATCCCTGGGAGGAAAGCAGGGCAGGCATTATTCACAAGTGATGAAACAGGCCCAGTGACTTCCAGAAAGTTAGCGGCAGAGCTGGGACCTGAAACCAAGCCTTCTGACTCTGTGTGCCATGCATGTTCAGTGTAGCCTTTCGACTACTTTATGCTTCTCTCTCCGAATGGCTGGTCCAGCTTCCCTCCTCAGAGCCAGGGGTCAGTTGGGACAGGAAGGTTTTGAGCCAGACAGCTGCAGCAACCTCTTCTCTAGGTTATTAGACAAATTGTTCTCTCTTGACTTCCTGGGAATGTCACAGGTTTCTCTGCCTGCTCCTCCAGGCTGTTACTGCCATAGAAGCCCAAGAAGGATTGACTGGCTTTGTGGAGAGGGGAAATGCAAACTCTGTGCCTTGGCTATATGAACAGTTGTTCTGAACACAAGCCATATACCCATCAGCCTGCCAGTTCTTTTTAAGCAGAGATCATTTCATTCTCTGCACCTGTATTCTTAGTACCATGCTAGGTGGTACAGTGGATAGATCATTGGCCGTGAGGTCAGGAGAACCTGGGTTCCCATCCAGCCTCAGACACTTACTAGCTGTGTGACCCTGGGCAAGTCACTTAACCTTCTTTGCCTCAGTTCATCATCTATAAAATGAGCTGGAAAAGGAAATAGCAATACTACTCCAGTATCTTTGCCAAGAAAACCACAAATGGGGGAGAAACAGAGAGTCAAGCACAATTGAAATGACTTCAATAACAACAACAAAAAGTTACTGATGGATTGATTTCCTGCTGTTCAGGCCTTAGCATATCTCCCTTTCTCCGGGAAGCTCACCCTCATGCATCATAGAGCCACGAGATGTACAGCTAGAAGGAACCTTAGAGATGATGTTATCCAGCATCCTCATCTCACAAGTGAGAAAACTGAGGCCTAGGGAAATTAAGCAACTTGTGTGATGTGTTATCTAAACTCAGGAATCATGTAGCACTTCTGTTTGAACCGTGGACTTTAGCACTTATTACTTTAATCTTGTTTTATAGTATCACTGTCAATAAAAAATTATTATTCTATATAATATGCTTATATCAACACTGGGGGCTTGTGATCGGGTCACCATGAGTCTTTTCTCCACCAATGGAGACTGTATTCTTTCTACAGTTTTAAGAGATGGTTTTCATGAGTCAAGGTGGCCAAAAAAATTCCTCATCGCTCTATAGCCAACCTGGTGATAAGCCTCTCTGAGCTTAGCTAGGCTGGTCTCTAGAAGCCAGATCCATTGCTGGGCCTGTGCTTCAGGGCCTTCCAGCTTGGCAGGATTGCTTCCAAGCCAGCGAGTGCCCTGATGGATTTCTTATTGAGAGTTGTGATGTTCTGGATGGTTTCATGCAACCGTTCTGAAGGACTGGAGGAGATGCAAGCCCTTTTGCAGACCCTTATTATCCCTCAAGAATGGATGGCCTCTTGGAAATTGGCCACTGAAACTGATCAGGCTGCTCTGAAAAGGCCTCATTTGGTCTGATGCCTAAATGGCCTGAATTTATTCATTAGGTTTTCTTTTTAACTCTTTCTCTTCGAAGCAGAAATGTAAGAACAATTTTCAAGCTGAGAGACCTGGTTAGGTAAATTAATAGAATCAAGATTTAGAGCTAGCTGGAAGGGATCTAGCAATCACCTGACCCAATGTCCTTATTTTACTGATGAGGAAACTGAGCCCAGATAGAGGAGACACTCACCCAATATCCCACAGATATTAAACAATAATAATAATAGTTGGGCATATATAAAAGAGGGCATCCAGGTGGTCCAATGGGTAGAGTGCTGGGCCCAGAGTCAGGAAGACCTGAGTTCAAAACTGGCCTCAGACACTAGCTGTGTGACCCTGGGCAAGTCATGTAACCCTATTTGCTTCAGTTTTCTCATCTGTAAAATGAGAGAAGGAAATAGCAAACCATTCCAGTACTTCTGCCAAGAAAATACCAAATGAGAACATTAAGTGTTGAATACAACTGAACAACAACAACAATAATAGCTGACACTTATACGGCATTTTGTGGTTCACAAAGTCCATTATAGATACCTTTTCATCACAATAACTCTGTGAGGTATTACAATGTTACAGGTGTTGTTAACCTCATTTTACAGTTTAGAAAACTGAAGTTTAGGGAGATTGTAATCGCCTGAGTCCAACATCGATTAGTAAGCTAGGCTCCAAGCCCAGGTCACAGCATCATAGTGAATTAGAGCTGAAAGAGAGCTCACTGATGCCGCTCTGAGATAGGTGACCTGCCTCGAGGTCACACAGGTGACATGTGACAGAAGCAGGATTTGAACTGGGTTCTCTGACTCCAAATCCGGTGCTCTTTCCACACCTGCTGTGGATGGTGCTGCATGCATCATGACTGTGTGCAACTCACATGTACACGGGTATGTGCTCTGTTTATTGTCTCACCTGACTGTGACAAAAAAGGCACCAATAATAACATCTTGCTATAGCAGCTTAAGGTTTACAAGGCACTTTCCTCACAACACCCCTGTAAAGTAGTTAGTGTAAATATCCGAACCTCCATTTTAAAAGGAAATTGAGCCCAAGTTTAGAATGTAAGCTTCTCAAGGTCTGAGACTGCTTTGGTTTTTGTCTCTGTGTCCTTAGAATCTATTGGATCTAGTTGTGTTTTTTTTTTTATTTAAGGCAATTGGGGTTAAGTGACTTGCCCATGGTCACATAGCTAGTGTTTGTCCTCAGAATCTAGCACAATGTCTTACACCTAGTACACAATAAATGCTTGTTGAATCTAATTGAATGACATTCTACATGGTGTTCTACTTATCTGTGCACATATTGCCACTCACCCAGTAATTTGGAAAATAGAGAATAGGGACTACCATTTTTCATCTTCTCCCTAATGCCTAGTACAGTCCCTTGCATGTTGGTGCATAATAAACGTGTACGAAACTTGTTTTTAAATTTGGTATGACTTGCATGTGGTCATACAGCTTCTAAGTGCTTATAGAGCTGTCCAAAATGGGAATGGGTTGCCTTGGGAGATAGTAAGTTTCTCATCATTGGAGGTATTCAAGTAAAGGATGAATCACCATTTGTTGAGAGGTTGCAGAAGGAATTCAGGTTGGACTAGTAGACCTAGCGGATCTTTTCCATCTTTGAGATTCTGTAATTTCTGTGTTGACCTATCAAAGTGAGAAAACCAATTTTGTTTGATTGGGGTAGAGACAAGGGAATTCAATTCTATTAAATGTTTACTGTGAGCCAGATCCTGTACTTGGCACTGCTCTAGAGATAAAAGTTAATACAGCATAGCCCCCATAGGAAGATGCTACAACTCATGAACCAGACCCCAGGATCTGTGATTTAGAGTCCATGTCATGAAATCACATCTGACAGTAACCACTTTGTGATTCTCTGTAGGTTTGAGGCTCTGATGATGCTATATGCTTCCTCTCTTCAATCCTGGGCTACTGGCCTTCTCTTTTCCTACGGACGCTTCAGATACCAGGAGGTATATTCCCTAACTTCTCAGTAACCTACCCCCAGGAATCCCAATCTTTTCCACCAATTCAATTCAACAAATATTGACCGAATGCCACTCTAGGTCAAGGTCAGCACTGAAGATAAAAAGATTGAAAAAATTACAGTCATGAGCTTACAGTCCATTGGGGAGAATAAGATGTGTTTGTACAAATAAGTGGAATACAAGGTGGAAGGTGTGACTAAGGTAAAGGAGAGATCTAGACAAAGTACTCAAGGGAAAACTGAAGGAGTTCTTTCTTGGGTCTAAGCTAAGTTGACCCAATTACAGATGGATGAGATGATCACAGATTTATAACTGGAAAGAACTCTAGAGGTCATTCTAGACCAACCCCCTCATTTTATAGATGAGAACATTAAAGTCTAAAGTCACACAGGTTGTAAGTTGAAGGGGCAGGATTTGAAGTCAGATCTAATTTCAAATCTTACTTTCAGGAAGGGC